AAAAAATAAAGACTATTTATAACCAATGAAACTGAATGTATTTTTATCGATGAATTGCCACTGATGTAAATTGCTGTTAAAAATAAAGAAATTAGAGAATTTAATTTATTAAAGTGTTGTATGTTTATATTTAAACAATTAAAATTTATTACTGTACATTAAATAGAGAAATTTTGACGGACAAAGCCTTTTTATCGGATAGTCATCGCAATTGATAAGAGCCATCAGTACTATAGTCAATATTATTTAGGTTGATCAGCTGTAAAAAAATATCGATTAACAATTGTTTTCATTTTCTTTCTCTCAATATATTTACTGCGTCAGAAAGGTGTAAGTTGATAGATAGGAAAATAATAAACAATCATGATTTTATATTTGACTTTAAATCAAACGGCATATAGTATAAAAGATTCTAATATAACATTCCTGATCAATTTTGAATGTCTAAATCAGACATAAAAAACAACGAATTTTTATTAGCTATATACTTTTCATTCAACAGGTTCATTTATACTATTTTATTATATATATATACACAGTGAATTTATTTGTCTATTGAATTAAATACTTTTTTTTCTCACATTTTATTACATATCATACTCGTATCATATTTCTATCAATCGTTTTTTTTTGTTTACAGTTCACATTTCGTATTCATCTTCGAGTTATCTTAGTAGATTTATTTCTTTATATTATTTATTCATTGGAGAAAAGATATGGTCTTCTTTTTTTCTTTTGATTTTCTCATTAATAAAATGTTCTATTTTAAACAATGTTGAAGAAATTATACAGTTTCAGTTTGCTATTTGAAAAATTTTCTTTATCCATTTTTGACATGATGTATAGAAAAATATTTTACAATATGACGAAGTAGATTTATGAACCAAAATAGAAAAGATGATTATATTTATTTTATATTTATTTATTATTATTATAATATTATAATCATAAGTATATGTTATATTTAATATAAGTATACGACATCTATTTCTATTTTATTATATGAAAATTAGTTGAATGAGAAATCTAACAATTTGAAAGATTAGAGAAGAACTGGAATTGACATAATATTGACGTGCACATATTTACACATAGCGGTAACTCATAATTCATTTTAATGATTAGATATAATATTAGTTTTATTATATATTGAATATCAATAGTTGCATGTTTGTTTTGTAAATCAATATGATAAACAATAAGAATAAAATAGAATATGAAATAAAGAAAATAAAAATAGCTATCTGAACATTTAAATATTGATGATTAGTATTTTATGATATATGACATTAATGAGTAGTTATAAAAGAAAGTATTTTCTCTCATGATACTTTGCATTTTCTTATTATTGTGAGTAACTAATTTAATTTGACATGTTTGTATAATCTTGAAATGATGAACGATATGGTATTCATCGATGTTCATTGTCGACAGATTTTTATTCTAATATTAAATTACATTAAGGCGAAATATAGATATGAAATATTATGAATAGTTGTTTCTTGAGAAGGGAATTATGTTGATGATTGCATTTTTTGATTTTCATTACGATTTTTATACGCATTTTTCAATTGAAAGATAATCTTAATAAAACATGGAAAAGCTTAAAATAAAATAGTTTTTTTCGCTCATTTGTGATGCATATCTAAATATATTATCTTCATCATTTTAATTTTTTTCTTGCATGTATAAAATAACATAGATAATGAAAAGTAATAAATATCGTTTATAGAAGTGAACTCTATCGAATCAATATTTTTCATAATGATGATAACGTTATAAAGATTTGAAATAAACAAAATATCTTAAGATACAATGTACTAATGAGTATATACTGCATAATGTTATTCAAGTATACACATCATATAACCAACTAAAACATGAAATAGAATACAAGCAAAACAAAAAGACAATGTTGAAAAATGAAATGAATCTTTTCAGTTTCGATTATCGTTTAAAATATATCGAAGAAAGTATACATATAATAATATGGCACATATTTATACAAAATGACGTTAAATATTATTTTTAAATATTAAGTTGTAGAAAAAGAATAGAATATATATTTCTATATATGAAGCAAAAAAAAATGATAGGCACTGACAAATATGATTTCAAGCAATGAAAATGAATCAGTGTGAATTGTTCTGTTATACGGAGAAAAATGTTGTAAGGAAATAAATAATCTCCTACTTAAAAGTATTTTATTAAATATTTTTCTATACGAATTTTAAAAGTATCTAGTGCTAATCGAAATTGAAATGTACCTTTACTAGCTCATGAAGTTACATATTTAGAAAATATTTTAAATTATATCGTCTCACAAATCATTACATTTTTCTTCCAAGCTGGTCACAAGTACTTTGGAAGAAGACGTCTTAGGTTACACTAGTGGTACTATTATTCGATTTCCAAAGAACTGATTTATATCATCTGGAGATGTATTGATTGATTGCAACAAAGAAAATGATATAATACAAAGAAAAGACCTTGAGTATATCATATAGAAAACGTGATAATCGTTTATTCGTTCAATTATGTAATAGCCACAGATATTGTTAAAATAAACATCGAATTAAATTTTCATATAAACAGAATTCTATCATGCATCATTTTTGCATACGAACGATCATATAAGGAATTAAACCGCAGAATGATTATATAATTTAAATTTTGATTGATTATTTAATATTCAGAGAAAGATATCTATGTTCTTAAAAATTGAGAAGATAATTGAAAGCTAAGATATATGTTCAAACAGCACGTTTTAAGACAAGATAACAAAACATAGAACGGTTCTACCTATAAAATGTTGCTCTAAGAATACCGCAGCATTCATTTCAGTTGCAGTATTTGAGTAGTAACTTTCAAAGAGTGTGAGGTGTAAAATACAATTAGTCCATAGGTAGTCATATATTTTTTTGAAATAAATATATATTGCTATTAACACACAATGCGAATTTCTTCATTATCTTGTCTGTATTGATGTTACATTTATATCTGTAAGTATATACAAGTCTAGTCTTTGGCTAACAATACGATCACCGTTTGGTGAATACGATCGCCGTTTGGCGAATACGATCGCCGTTTGGTGAATACGATCGCTGTTTGGCGAATACGATCGCTGTTTGAATTAGCTGAAGGTGGATTTTTTTTATGTAGCAAACTGTAATTTATATGTATAGATGGCAGAAAGTTTCGTACTGTACAGATATGAAACAATCAAAATCGCAAGCTTTAGTAATTAATTATACGTTCGTTCATATACATCAATTTGAGAAGACTGATTTCTCAGTAGAAAAAGTTTCTGTAATACGTGCAGAGAATTAGTGCTGTATATTAAACAATTAAATACATCGAAAGCATAAGGCTCACACAAAAAAAGTTTATTTTAAGAAATAAAAATCTATTTCACGCGACTCTTCATAGTAGGATGTGATACTTAATAGTGAGTGAACTAAGCGAAAGAGTAGAAAATTGCATAAAAAGTGAAATATTTGTTTCAATCAAAACATTTCACTTTACACAATTGGATAAAAAATAATATTACATATAGTATGTTTAGACCGTGAGAGATAACCGTAATATTTAGACAAAAAAGAAATAACTATACATGAAATTGATTCAAATAATAGTAAATGTCATACAAATGATTATACATATTATCAGACGATAGGCTGCTATGAAAAATAAATAGATTAACATATGACACCAAATAGATTCTTATTATGGTACGAAAAATATATCGATGGCATATCACACGTACAGTTTAGATGATTTTATCGAAGAATAAGTAACGAATCTAAGAATTAAAAAGCCTCTTGAAAGAAAAATACTGGCTTATACTATAATTAGTAGCGAATAGAAAGTGTTAAAGTATTAAACATTGAATGGATAGGAAAAATATGACATTTACAAATGGAGAAGTTTTACTACTAACAACCATCAGCAAGAATCATATTTGGTTAGAAAACACTAATTTTTGGCAAACATCGCATATTTTTTTGCGTGGATTAATCATCTGACTTTAACTGTCCTAAATAGACAATTACTCAATGACACATGTATCCTTTCTCAGTATCATATGATAAAATAAATAGCAAGATAAAAATTAAAGTAAATAAAAATGATCAGAAAGTTATATTTTTTAAACAACAAGTCAATCATTTTTCGGAGATTCAAAAGAGAGGATATTTGCTCAGTAGTTTGATGATGAATGAAAAGAAAGAAGAAAACTGAGATGTAAGAATAAAAAATGAAGTTTTTTATTTTAGTTCAGAGTCAATTATTTGACCGAATATAACAACCTGACATACATTAAAAATAAAAACTATTTCATATAAAGGGAAAGTTCTTATTTCAGAAAAGAATATTACATTTGTTAGATGTCAAGGAAGAGAGAAAATACTCGACCGACCTTTTTGTTTGAAAGTTGATGAATCAGCTAAATATGATAACATCAAATAGAGTGAAAGAGAAACACTAATTCATATATACTGGATATTGTATATTGGGAGAGTGATTAACTCTTTCAAAATCTAAAATAGAAGATATTGATTGAATGATCTATAAACGGAGAATGAAATGGAACGTATAAAAGAAGAGTTAAAACAAAAAGTTTGTTTTGTAGAAAAAAAAAGTTCGATCGCTTATTATTTAAAATTTAACCAACGTAGTGCAAATAGTACTTTACAATAATATGGTACGACAGAATGTGGTTCATACAACGAGAAGTTATCGGAGTCATTGTGATCGCATTCAGAAGAGACAACTTAGACTGATTATTATAAAATGAGATAGAAAAAGATGAAAACGATCGTATGCTGTGAGAAGAGAAGTTATTATTTTAATATTTGTAAATTAATAGATGCATCGAGTACCACGAACTCAGATATCTTAGTAAAATTAATTGGATCTAGATTTTTTTTCTCGATTTAATATAATGAATATTTCAGAGTACAATAGTTCCTGTAATGAAATTTTACTTACTTTACTAGATCATGAACTATCAACGGGTTCTATACGTAGACAAATTTACTTCAGAATTAAAGTCGAAATTGCGTATTGTGGATTTCCATAGGAAGCAATCATTGAAGTCAAATGTGTACTTTGTTAAATTTGCATCCAATGCTGATATGGAGTATGCTGACCGTGCTTGCAAACGACTTCGTGATCTTACATTAAAACCATTTCAACTTTCTTCTTTCAAAACTCAACATGAACATCAGATTGGTACGTGCAGCCATCAAGAAGCTCTTACACCATCATCATCATCATCATCTATCCCATCGTTATCACCAGCAACGACGCTTACTTTTCTTTCTGATTTTCCTCCTTCATCTATTACATGTCAACCGGGTTCTTTGAGACGGTCAAATGAAACATTAGAAGAACGTGCAATGCGTGTCCTTGGTCCAATTATAGCAAGTCGTGAAAGTGTTGTATCGACACCTACTCTCCAATCAATAAATTTAGTAAGTTCTAGTTCTGATGTAAACATCGTTAAGAGTTATGTTACTTTAAATATAAAGAATAAAAAACAACTTGTTGATCACATTCAATCTTGTTTGAGCGCTATGAAAACAGCACAACGACCTGTCGATGAACTGTATCAACTTCACAGTAAGATTTTTTTGTACTTAAATCGAAGAAAATAATCAATAATTATAATTGCAAATAGGGCACAGACTCGACTATTGTATGGCATTGAATTATCTGATTAAAGTACATTCAACAGCTTTTTACTTGAAAGCGGCAACATCTACTCAAATTAAAGATGCCTTAATAGCTGGTCTACGAATATCGCGGGTAGATGTTGCTAAACTTATTAATGCCATCAAAATGAATATTCGTCGTGAACAATTATTTATAGAAGAAATGGCATCCACTAAACATATTCTATCAAAAATTGACACTACAGCGTCGATTGCAATGTCATCGAAATTAGCATATCAACTGACAAAAATATCGAGTTGACATTTTTTCAAATATTTTCTCTCATTTAATGCATGTTTATATATTATTAAAAAGTTACATTTATTCATTATTATAAAGTGTCATGTATATACGAACTGAAAGCAAAATTTGTTCGATAATAGAGCAGTTGAAATTGTACTGTGCGTTTTATAATTTAGTGTCTATAAGTGCATAATTCGTCTTATGGAAGTTTCCACGTAACTATTTAACTAAAATAGAATTCATCACTATGTTGGGAACTCGTGTTTTGCTCATAAGAATTATTGATCATATAAATTCATAATCGTTTTATATCTCATCGTGAAACAAGAAAAGAAAGAGAAATTGAAAAAGAACAGGACAATAAAAAGAGAAGAAATATTTATGGGAAGGAGGGAGAGCAAAATGAACAGACGGATTGAATGAAAATATAGAAGCAATGAAGAAATGATTGTCTATTGAGTATGAATATTATACCGGTAGAAAATAAAGAAGATAAAATATATATGTTACTGATTGATAAAGGATAATAATATTATCGCCATGACGATCAATCATTTTTCTTTTATATATGATTAGTTTCAAAAATTTCACGAAAGTAATGTGAACTGATGAAATACAAGTATTTAATATCTATTGTTTAATAACAGACAACTGTTAATTGACGTTCACATGCTTGAATTTATCGGGTAATTATTTACAAGGAGCTCTTATGTTGTGTACTTTCAGATTGCCTGCAGACTTGAGGATGTTCTATAAAACTCAAATTTTCTGTTCTGATACGATTAAAAATAGAAGTATGAAATGTAGAATGCAGAACATATGCACTACAAAACGATACATACAAAGGTCTTTTCTAGAAACTTTTTTTAAACATATATTACAATATACAGTTCCTTTTTGTAGTTTCGTGAATTACTCTTGACATTTTTTTCGGTTTCGTTTCAACAAAGTGTTTTATTTTTTTATTTCTATGCTTTAATTAATCATCGAAAAATGAATTCGTTATTTTTCCTTCATTTTAGATTTTTAATAATAAATCCGAATATGAATCACACTTTGACATCCAACTATCCAACTGAACCAGATGAAAAAATAGTTGCACTCAATCAAGATATTGGATATTTACTTCTTAAATATCTCAAAGGTTTAGATGTCATTAGCTTTATGGAAGCAATAGATGGTTCTGAACAATTCAATATGATCGAAATATCTGAAGACCATTTATTCTATAAAGTGTTTATGAAGATAGTAAAGGAAGAAAAGATGAAAATTAATGTACCCTATCTTCATTTTTACTTGGATACCTGCTCCATCGACGAACATGGATATTTGTATCCGGAGCGGTACCACTCAGGAGAGACTCCTATATTGCGTCTCTTCATTCATCCTACATTTACGGTTGAAGCCTTCGAAAATTTGTGCTTCACGTACAAGACTCCATCTTTTCAATGTTACAGTCGCTTATTACCGCTCAATACATACACATATGTTGGCAATTTTCTTCTACTTGATTATTTTCATTATAAAGGTTTGATCGGTTGCCCGCGTGAATTGAATGCTCATGAACGACGTCTCTTCAAAGGTCTGATTACGTAAAAAGTCGAATAGTTCAAATTAAAATAATTGAAAGAATCTTTAAAAAAGTGTCGAATGAATAATTAAGCTATCTGATCCAATAAAGTATCCTAATATGAATATTGACAGCAGTATGTAATGAAACAAAGGTAGTACACGAATGCAGACAAACAAAGAGCTAATCGTAAAGAAAGCCTTAATATAAATAGTAACAGCATTATGAGATAGATCAAGCAGATACTATGAAAGAAAAAGAAAAATGACTTACACATCGACATTGAATGAAAGAAAAATAGAATATATACAACCATACAAAAAGAAGAAATGTAAAATAATGAATAGCAAGAGCTGAAAAAGAGTGCTGTACAGTTTTAGATGGAATATAATATACCAAATAAAACACTAGAAAGCACGGTCTGAAAAGGCGACTATTTCAAGTGAAAAATTGTTATAATGTGATCAAAATCTAACAAAATTTTGTGAGGACTGTAATAGATTATCTATTTAAATGTATATGATCAAGCAATATTATCTGTATATAATATGATTTAATTTAGAGTGTTTATTCTTTCGAACGCTTCAAAGCAATATTTTGAATAAACAAATATCATTTGTTGCATCAATGACGGAATTTATGAAGAACTTTGAAAATCGTTTTAAGTCTTCTGTATGGATTGAAGCAATTGATTTCACCAAATTTCATATATCCGGTGGTTGCATAGTGAATAGTCTTTGCGAACAGCCATTTCCAGATACTACTACTGAACAAATAGATATAAATTTCAATGGCAACTCGTTCAACGAGTTCGACGAAGCCGTTGCTAATGTATTTACTAATTTAACATTGATTTTGTCAAAGAATGGTCGTCATTGAAGTGTCAAATTAATAAAAGAGAGCTGCAGTATTTACCATGCAATACTCCCATTTGATATTAAGTTACAGTTTAATTTTAAAGATGTTCCTGAAATAACAAATCCTATGAGCTATGTTCTTCATAGTAGTGATATTGACATCAGTCAAGTTGCATTCACAGGTTAGACATATTCGGACTCATTAAATATCATTAACTAAATTCATAATAGGTTCACATGTATTTTGCACAATTGCTTTTCTACAGGCAATTGCGACAAATTCATTTATATGCTATACAATGCACGGAGATATGGAAAGAAGTATATGCGAAAGAATTATTCGGTATTGTCAAAGAGGATTTGTTTTCCTCGAACCACAAGAATTCGACAACGCTTTATATATTGATATCATGGCTCGTAATGTTCTCAAAGAGAAGAGAGAAGAAACACGAGAAATAATGAATGATGATGGTGAAATTCAAATCATTACAATCACCTATGAACCACGTCAATTTCCATATCCGAACGTCGATTCTCACCGACTTCAAGAAACTTTTATAGAACAAATTTGTCGTAAAAAAATCAAATAGACGCATATTTTTTAGTAATGTTTGAAATGTATTTGTCTCATTTATTATGGCAGAATAGTTTAAAATTTAAAATTAGTTCTTATCTAGTAGTGTATAAAATTTTATTCTTATTTTCTCTAAAAAAAGGGCATGCGTGATGTTATTTATATCATATATACGATAAATGATTGAAAGTATCGAAATATTAATTTTATCCATGTATTTGCTATATATTTAGATCATTCAGATTGAAAAAGTTTATAAACACCTATCAATTAAATCCCTTAACATGTCAAACTCACCCAGTAATAAAAGTAAAAAAGTTTCTCACTATCTTACAGTAAATGTTTCTCACTGTAGAAAATACTGCGAATACGAACAATTCTTATGAACAGATGGCTTCTCACAATGAGGCCACAGTAAGATAATTAATGCTCTTGCTACTTATAAACAAAAATATTTTCTAGCAGCCAAATTCATTAAGTCGTACAGGAAAACGATTTGCTATTGAAGATATAAATGTTGAAATAAAAAAAACGAAAACTGAAACTCCTATGCTTGAACAAAAAGTTTCGATGCCTTCTGCCGCAAATACTGCCGCAGTAAAATTTGTGAGCGCATCTACAATGGTTGTACCACTTCCAGAAATTACCGATGAAGAACTTCTTGAATTCACGCTTGAGTTTGAAAGAAAACATGGTATTTAATGTTGAATGAAATTATCAAAAAGCTATAAACAATATACTTATGCCTTTTTTTTGTGTGCATTCAAATTTATTTAGTGTTTTAAATTCTTTGAAAAATAATTATATTACTCACACTTCAAATTATATATATATAGATATCATTTAAATATTATCATTCATTTATTCGCTTTCTCTATTTCAAGATTCAATTATCAGTTTTTAATTCAATTCCAAAAGTAGACAACCAATGGAAAATTCCAATATTGACTGGAATCCAGTTTTTAATGTTCCTTTACCAACTGAGTTTGCTCATTGGCCGTTAGACATGTACTTAGATGATGATGAGTTTCGCGCTGGATACCCATTTTCGCCTGTTCCAGTGATGAAATCGAACGGTTGGGAATTCTCAGTATCACAAATCGAACTAATAAAATGTTTTTTCTAGACGACGAGAAATCACAAAATTCTTCACCAACACCTGATAACGATTTTTCTCAATCGAATAATTCGGACTACGGTAAATGCTTTCAATTCACATGCAACTATCGGTATATTATCGTATATATTCATGATAGACGCTTGTATTTCAACAACGGAAGGTAATCATCAAATAAATGATTCATCATCTGAAGAAAAAGTAAGAATTGAATTTCAAAATAATAGATTTAGTGAGTATTCTCATGCTAGGAAAAGAAATTGGTTGTTCTGGTAGAATCCTGTCTCGTCGATGGAGATGATAATAATCAGAAAATAGATACAATTGAACAGAACGACTATAATAAACAAAAGCTCAACAGTCATCAGCAGCATTATATTGTAGATCAAGCTAACGACACCAATACTGATAATCTTGGTCAATCAAGTAATACAGAACCAAGTCACGATGTTGTCTTAAATTAGATATAGAAAAATATCCGTCACATCGTAAACACCTAGACTACTTCATAATAATACTTTTTTTATCATTTGTTTTGCTCTTTTATACGTACTCATTTTCGAGTTAAAAATTATTTACTTCACGTTGTTTGCTTGTCATCATTTATAAACTGGAAGCTTATCGTATTCATAATAATCAAGGAAATTACTTGATCTTTTTTCTTTTTGTCATTACATTTTAACGTCAAATTTGAGTCGCCTTCTTTTTCTCTGTCAACTCCTAGTTCATATTATTCGGTATTATTCAGCATTATATATTGAAAACAAAAAAAAACTAGTTTCGGTTGATTATTATTAAGCTCTCGAGCCTGAGTGCCATCTAGTTTATATATTTATACTAGATTGGAAATAACGGACATTCGCTATACTTCGATGAGTTCTTCTCAATTTTGATAGTTCCGCTGGAAAATATTGAGCAATGTCTTATCACATGAGGAAAAAAAGACATATCTATAATCGAACAGTTGCTTCTTTTTGTAAGAATTTCGTTGCATGTCATATAACATAATAATCTTTTCAATTAGTTGTTCTTTTTCTTGATACTTTAAATAAAATTCATTGAACATTTTATCTTTTTCAATTGAAAAAGAAAAAAAAAGATTCCTAATCATCAACTATTCGACGAGCAGAACGAAATGTTGATCCAAATGATCATTTATGTGCAGAATTTTTAAAAATCGTTTTTACTAGGAACAGAACAATAAGTACAAATGTTGTTAATACTAATATATCACAGGAACTAGGACAATTATTATTCATAGTTCTAACAGAAAAACTAATAACATGTGCTTATACAAAGATTAAATATAGCACAACCAATTAATGATAATTTGAATTCCATGCGTCCTACTATGACGAGTATACTTGAAATTCCATATATAGCAAATGGTAAAACTTGTCTGGATTTATTTTACAAAATGGAACATTCCAATTATAACATATTATTGAATCATGTTCATGAAGTAATTGAATATTTGCACAAATAAACAAAACAAATCGGAAGAAAACTTTTTCAGGATTTAAAAATTTCTTTTTTCTGTAATAGGATCGAGAAATGTTTTTATTGCTAACATCTATTGTGATGTTCTTGTTCAAGCTAACTATGCTTCATCAATACGCATGTCCGGATAGAAATTTAATTTTAATAATTCAAGTAAATTTTTTTCTTTTTGATTGCTACTTTTGAAATATATTTCATTGTTTATTTATTTTATTTTAATAGATTCATTTAGTATTATTTCTGCATCGGTAATTCTTAGGAATGATGTTCGCGTATTTCATCCTCAGTGATGCACCGAGGAGCAACACTTGCGCTGGTAGCTATTGGCTACTGCCATAGCTTATCACGTTAGTTGAGAGTGGAGGTGGTGCTTCTCGGCCTGTTCACATGGTCCTTACAATACTGCGTTTGTGATCGCAGTGCCGTGATTTTCTTTTTTTATTTACGCGAGCTGTCTTTTATTTTTACGTAACAGTACACTGTAAAAAAATAGGTTTTCCACCGAACCAAAAAAAGGTCTGAGCGCGGGCACACGGTCAGATCCTTTTTAGGTTTCGTAGAAAAAAGGTTCCGTATGGAACTTCTTCTTGATAA